AGCTTGATATCATACCTCCTGAGGTTGGCAAAGGTTTCGGCAAGGTCAGCTCGCAGGTCGGAACCTTTGCGTGACTTGACCACAATGTCATCCATGTATGCTTCCACATTCCGACTGATTTGAGTGAGTAAACACTTCTGAATCATTCTCATGAACGTGGCTCCGGCGTTCTTGAGGCCGAACGGCATGGTGACATAACAGAAGCATCCGAATGGGGTGATGAAAGCTGTTTTGATTTCGTCGGGTCCATACAGACGGATCTGATGGTACCCGGAATAAGCATCTAGAAAAGACAATCTCTCGCACCCCGCAGTCGAGTCGACTATTTGGTCGATGCGAGGGAGAGGAAAATGATCTTTCGGGCAGGCCCGATTGATATGTTTGAAATCAATGCACATGCGAAGTGACTTGTCCTTCTTGGGGACCATGACGACATTGGCGAGCCACTCGGAGTGGTAAATCTCTCGGATGAACTCCGTTGCTAAGAGCCGAGCCACCTCCTCGCCAATGGCTTTCCTCATCTGGACGGCGGACCGTCGAAGATGTTCTTTCACAGGCTTGAACTTCGTGTCGACTCGTAGACGGTGCTCAGCCAGCCCTCTGGGAACTCCAGGCATGTCAGAGGGTTTCCATGCAAAGATGTCCCAGTTCTCACGGAGGAGCTGGATGAGCGCTTCTTCCTATTTGGAGTCAAGCGTCGTTGAGATGTGAGTCGGGGCAGCATCGGGGTCGATCGGGTGAATGTGGACTGTCTTTGTTTCACCGGACGACTGAAAAGCTGATTCTGAAGCAGGCTTCTTGGCTCGTAGCAACTCACTTGGATCGGCAGTCTTTTGGTACTCTTGCAGCTCGACCACTGCCATCTGAGCATATGCAATCTTTGAGCCCTTCTGAAAGCACTCTTCGGCCTTCTTCCGATTGCCTGTAACAGTGATCACACCTTTGGGGCCAGGCATCTTCAGTTTGAGATACACGTAACATGGCCGGGCCATGAAGCGTGCGTAAGCTGGCCTGCCCAAAATGGCGTGATAAGCACTTTGGAAGTCCACAACCTCGAATGTCAACTTTTCCTTGCAGTAATTCTTTGAATCACCGAAAACCACATCAAGAGCGATCTGGCCGAGTGATTGGGCTTTCTTCCCAGGAATGACTCCGTGGAAACTCATGTTACTGGTGCTGAGCCTGGACATTGGAATGCCCATTCCTTTCAATGTTTCAGCATACAGTATGTTCGGGCCACTGCCACCATCCATCAGGACTTTAGTCAGTCGAGTGCCTTCAACAATTGGGTCGACCACCAAAGCTTGCCTCCCAGGGGTGGCAATGTGCGTCAGGTGATCAGACTGGTCGAATGTGATGGCAGTCTGAGACCACTTCAGGTAACTGGGTGTTGCCGGGGCAACCATGTTCACCTCTTGGTTAATGACTTTCAGTCGACTTTTGCTTTCGACATCGGCAAAAATCATCAGGATGGAATTGACTTGGGGGTATCCATCGTCACTGTCTTCCTTGTCCTCGACTCTGTCCGACTCTTTTTCCTTATCCTTGGACTGCTTTCCTTGGAACTTCTGGATCAAGAGCCAGCACTGTCGAGTGGTATGCTTTGGGTAAGTAAAATTACCCTCTTCATCCTTCTTGGTGTGGATGTGACATGGCAGATCCAAAACATCATTTCCGTCTTGATCCTTGACTTTCTTGGGCTTCCAGGGGCCTTTGGGTTTTCCCTTGAAATTTCCCTGGGTTGCGGCCAGGGCCTCCCCAGGGGCGGCTGGCTCGGCCTTCCGCTTCTGCTTCCGACTGGAATTGCCTCCGATTTCCTGGGTGACTGCTTTCTGCTTGCCACTCCAGAGTCGATCTTCATCTTCTCCGTTAGCGTACTTGGTGGCAATCGCCATCATCCGATTCAGAGACATCTCTCCAGTTCGACCAAACTTCAGATTCAACTCTCTGTATTTGACACCTTCCTTGAAGGCACAAACCGCTTGATGGTCTGGCACATTCTCAACCAAGTGATGCAGCGTGATCCACCTCTGGATGTATTCCCTCAGAGTTTCATTCGGCTTCTGCACGCAAGACCGCAACTCTGTAAGGCCTGCAGGTTGCTTGCATGTTCCTTCAAAGGTCGTGATAAACACTCAGGAGAGGTCCTCCCAAGTGTAAATGCTGCTGGGTGCTAACTGATTTAGCCACGCTCTGGCCGAGCCCTCTAACATGAGAGGCAAATGCTTCATGGCCACCTCATCATTGCCACCGTCAATCTGTACAGCCACTCGGTAATCTTAGAGCCAGGTGTCAGGCTTAGATTCACCGGTGAACTTGTTGATTCCAGTCACCAGCCTGAAATTGGGAGGAATCACTGCGGCTCTGATGGCTCGACTGAAACACTCTGGCCCTGAAGCACGTACTCCGCTGCTGGCAGGCGCATCTCTGTTGTGTCCTCCTCGATGAGCTCTGTTCCTGTCAACCAAACCTTGAACGAGGATGGATCTCGCATCAAAACCTGGGTCTCTGGGGTCGACTGGAATCCTCTGCCCAACACTATGAGGGCGTCTGTCATCTTGCCGTCGAGGCGCATATGACCCACTCATCGGGGGAGGGGTTGGCACTCGACGTCGATCATCACGGTCGAATCGGTGATCATACTGCTCATTCCTCCTGTACTGGTCACGCCGGTCACCACGTCCCTCACGCCTCGGGGGCGATCTCGGGCTGTGAGCCGACTCGACTGTATCTGTTGCGACAGATCGACTGTGGATCCTATTCCGCGACTGAGAGACAGCGGAATTCTAGTTTCCCGCCGCCCAGAGCAATGCTCTGATCTGTAACAAGCCCCTGCCAGCCTCCGACTGGAAGGGCTGAATCGATTCTGCTATACGGGCCGCGGCGGCCAAATTCTGAACTGGGGTTCGATATACCTGCGTCGGCGGGAAGAGCTGGCGTCGACTAGACTCGGGAGCCCGCTGACGCGCTTGCTCGTTGAGTGCTCGCTGGAGATTCTCCAGTCGAGTGCGCTCGGCCAAGTTGGCCAAACGTGCGTCCTCCAAGGCCTGGGCCTCGGGGGTCTCTCCGACGATAGGAGTGCGGAGCGCGTCCATGTTCCGGCGGCGAAGCTCCTCTCGCTGTAATGACGTGAGAGGTTTGGGGAGATACTCATCGTGGGGATGCGACGGATCGCCCCCACCCGCGCCTCCATCAGCGCGAGGGAAACCGGGAGGACTGTGCGTTCCGTCGACTGCCAGAATCTCAGCCGCTGGGTCGCTGCTGTCGCACTCGGATGCAGTCTCCGCGGAGCCAGTCGACAGGTCGAACAGGCCGCAGAGGGATTCATCGGGCTCGATTGCCGCGACTTGTGGGGCTACCGACTGGCGGGCCACGGCATGCCTCACCCACCGCTGGAGTCTTGACCGACCGGAGCGCTTGCGCTGGCGGGAGACAGGGCGGGGAGACGATGCAGGGGCCGACCGATACTGAGTCGATGGCTGCCGCAGGAGGACGCCATGAATGCATGCGCGGAAGTGCATCGCACCGCGGATGGGGAGCGCGTCGATGTCGAGTGGTGCCTCCTGAAGCCAGGCGGAGTCATCGACGATGAAGGTGAGCGCGCCGAGACGGATCTCGCGGTCCTCCACCAAAACTCCGCAAGAAAACATGATCAAAGGGATCGGAAAAGATCGCAACTTCTCCAACTAAGCGCTAAGATTCCTGCCCCACGGTGGGCGCCAACTGTCGTGGTTCTAACTCTGACAGTGATGTAGGGGGGTGAATATGGAGAGGCTAGATCTTAGCTATTGGGAAGTTGTTACACGCGAGGTTTACGAGTTCAGGCCCTTCTTAGAGGAAGTAATAGCCCTACGTCTCGGAGCGCGGAGGCGGTCTACTGGATTATGCGTGTATGGATACAGGGGTGCGAAGCCTTCATACTGAGGAGGGGGGTGGCTTATATAGAGTTCGCCGGACCCCTCCCGCCCTCAGTAATGCAGGGTTTAAGGTACATTTAAGGTTGGGCGTTTCTGGTAACGTCCCTAATAAAGTGCTATAATGATCATAAAGACTACTTAACAGCCGACCGTTTGCCTGCGGAGTGACTTTAGGTCTCCTTTCAGTCGAGTGGTTGGCTTCATGGTCGAGTGATAGCTTCTTGGTCGAGTGTCTTGAACCCGTCGAGTGGGATACCTTCAAGTCGATTGAAAGGTGACTTCTCCTAGGGGTGTCCTAGGGTAGGACTCTTTGATCAGGTCCGTGTCCCTACCCTAGGTACGTGTCTTCATCAGTCACCGAACATGATCACTGGTGACATTTTTTTGTCTGTCGCCTAATATGCCAACTTGCGTGACGAAAAAAGTGGTACCGTCAAAATTTTATTTTCTATGACGGCGCTTCAGTGATGGTGGGCGCGGTGACCGAAAAATGTCACTAGAGTATCTATTTTCCATGATGAAAGCGGGTTATACATGACACAAGTGAAGCGTTGCAAAATAGAGCAAAGTTTGTAGTGGTAGTGGGGGCAATCAAAGCTGGCGTGGGAAGGTCAAACTTGACGCTGGGACCCATGATGGTTAAACTTAGCCTTACCTAATTAAATCAGCTGGCTAACCAACTAACCAGGGCCCACTTGTCAGTTATAGAAAACGTTGCAAGTTGTTAGTTGTACCAGATTTGTTTCTAAGGGAAAATATTCAGGAATAATGAGAACAGTCATATAAAATGACAGGGTAGTACTGGGAACCAGAGAAACTATAAATTGGCACAGTCCACAAATCACAATGTATTTTGGAAAGGTGATATATAAAGACAAATAAGAAAAGGCAATCGAGGTTGCCACCCTAATTGACAATCACAAACATGTGATGGCCGCATTGGCTTATCACAAGAAGGAAGACTTTTTTTTTGTCATGGCCACTAACGAAGCTTGCCCTAGGTCCAAGTCGCCGATGCCACATGTTGAGATCGAGGGGCCACCTTTATTTATGGAGAAAAGCGAATATAGATCTTTCGAACAACTAGATCTCCCGATGATTCCCTTGGTGGCTAGATCCTTCACAAAACAAACATATGGATCAAATTCAATAGAACAAGAATTGCCCCGAGTAAAATTGCATATGGGTATGAAGTCATTAACAATCAAGAGTAAAACATCAAACATTGTTGAGAGAAAGGGGGAGTATGACCGAGATGAGTATACTAGTAGGAATAATGGTGATCCAGGAACCATCACTAACAACTAAACTACGACAAGCGTGCATTGAAGAGAAAAGATACTAGTTGAGATTACCTCTGCAACCCGTCACATGCGATTAGCGGCATAGTCCATGTACTAGTCATTGTCGGAGGAGGGGTGGAGCTTGTGTTGCCGGGCGCCCTGTCGATCACGGAGAACTGGTCCCGCGAAAGAGGCGACGGCATAAAGATGGATGCCATGGAGTTGAGCAACGAGTATCCCTGAGTTGGAGCAGATGGGCGTGGGTTGAGGACGCCGCGGGCGTTTTGAGGGGCCCGCTGAGTGTGCGGCGGCTGCCTCAGCAACGGGAAGGGCGCCCCCCATGGCGCAAAGTAGCCCATCCAGGGTCGTTGTTGCGGTTGTGCCGACTGTCCAGGCCAGGTGTTAGAAAAAGCGTTGCGATCGCCTTGATTCCCATTGTTGCTTCTACCGGGGGTGGAGTTGGAGCCGGTGTTGGTGCCAATGGTGATGGTGGAGGATCCCTTGGCCCTGTCACGTGCATTAAGATTGATTTCTTCCAGCAACAACATGGAACGGGCCTGGATAAAGGTAGGAAAAGGCCTGTGCATGGGAAGAGTAGTTGCCAGCACATGGAAGCGGTTGTTGAGTCCTCGGATCATTTGCAATGTCCACATATCATCGCTAACTGGTTCACTTGCGTCGAGGGCATCGGCGAGGGCCTTAATCCGATTGCAGTAGGCGGCCACCGTCATGTCTCCTTGCTCGGTGGCGCTTAACTCTTCGCGGATGTGGATGGCCCATCCGGGCTGGTTGTCCCGGAAGAAGGTGTACAACTTGTCCCAAACGGTATACGCGGTGTTCTCCGGCTCCCTCACCACTTGATAGAGCTCGTCGCAAATGGTAGCATAGAACCACAACACAATGGTCAGATCGTCGTTGCGCCACTTGGCATCTTGAAGACGGGGATCAGACTCGTGGTCGACATGGTGGGCGCAGTCGTATTTGGCGAGGATAGCGTAGAACTTCCGCGTCCACTCAGCGTAGTTGTTTGCGGCGAGATCTAGCTTGAAATTGATGAAGTGGGTAATATCGATGCGGTGCATAGGAGGCTCAGGACGGGTAGAGGGGAGGACAGGCTTGGCCTTCTTGGTGCTGCCGAGGGGAAAGAAATGACGAAAGGAGGAGGACGTGGCCAGAAGGGTGGGGGCGCTGAATGAAGGAGAGATGTTGCTCATGGTGAAGAGGAGAAGATGGTTGTGATACCAAGAACGATTGTGACTTGTGAGTATAATCTCGAAGATGTCTTGTGTTCACTCGCTGCCCTGTTTATATACACATCACAAGGGGTAGAACCATAGGAGAGAGATTTATTACAACAACAGTAAAAGTATACCAGAATTTGGCTGGTGGGGAGCTTGGGACAAAATGATGGACGAGACGCATGGTAGTACTCCTACCCGTAGTACTGCGTAGTGGGTAGCGGATCTGATCGATGCAGGAGGCGAATTGTCACCGTGATTCCACGATTAGTGAGATCACATCACAGTCTGATCGATTGACGCGTACGATGACACTGTGACATGACGGGTAATTCGATCGGTGACGGTAAGTGATGAGCCAGAGTGAGGTTTTCATCTCCAGTTACGATTAGCTTTTGCAATGATCAGAACGCCACGTCGGTGTGTGCGGGGCAGCCGTGCATAGCTGGCCTTTTGCTACCGGCGTTGCCGTGTACACTTGTGACCGACCGGCTTCGGCTTTCGGCGGGCCAGTTTGTGCGTGCATGCCGGCCGCGCCGCATGCCTGTGCGGACGTGCACGCGATGGCTAAATTTTTTGGTTTGGAGTGGTAGGTGGTGACCACGAGACAAAACTTGTTGGAACGAGGCACACGGATGGCTAATACAGTGTCATGCAGTTCTTACTGTGGGAAACTTATGCCGCACTGCACCACCACCCACCACCGATATTAGCCATTCATGCGACTGATTCCAACGAGTTTTGTCCCGTGGCCACCATTCACCAACCCAAACCAAAAGTTTCAGCCATGGCGTGCACGTCCGCACAGGCATGCGGCGCGGCATGCATGCATGCACAAACTGTTCCGCCGAAAGACGAAGCCGGCCACGAGTGTACACGGCAAGGCACGCACCGGTAACGAAAGACGAGCCACGGACGGCTGGCGCGCACGCACCGACGTGGCGATCTGATCACTGCAAAGCTAATCGTAACTGAAGAGGAAAGCCTCACTCTATCTCATCAGTTACCGTCCAATCGACCACCAGAGACAAGTGATGACCCGTAGGCACGCATATCCAGGCCAGGATCAGATAGCAAAGCCAACTCAAAAGCGCGAGCCGATGACGCAGCGGCTAGGGCCGGACAAGCGCGGCGGTTCAGGGTTCAGGGTTCAGACAAGGTTAGTATAGCTGTTCGTGCAGTCGTGCACACCACCGCCCTCGATCTGCAAACACAAATTCAAAACACGGCGGTTCGGCGTGTGGAGTTACCTTCGCCGCTTCCGTGCTCATGCATGCAGGAGGACCTATCTGTCGTCTATCTGCATGCTTCCAAACCAAAGCTTGAACTCCCTCGCTGAAAAGGCAAAAGAGCAAAAAGACAGGGCTTCAACTACCTGCGCGACAAAGTTGGTTGGCCTGGCCGGGGAGATAGATTTGTTCGGGCGCAGGAAGCTTCGGTGCACCTTCCCGCCGCCACCTGAGTGTCTCGCACGCGCCCTTTGCCTGGCTTGTGGTTAACGAGAACCGCAACCAAGATGACAAATCAACAAACGTGTAGGCCGTATATATCTAGAAAAGTTAGTATACATGTGCGAAATGCAGAAATGAAAACCTGGGTTTGGAACGTCCAGGGCGGTATCTACAAACCAGGCGACGGAACCCTACAGTTTAAAATACGGATAATCAAAGTATGTCTTCACAAAATTTAAAAACAACCATGTCTTCACTTAATTGAGTGACACCCTAACTCCCGAAAACACAATGAGGAGATGTAATAACTGAGAGCTTATAAAACAATTTCCTTTTTTTTAGTTCTAAGTTGATTCACCCCAACCGTTGGATATCGATCCAACAGCCGCCCACCTCCTTCTTCCTCGCCCAGCATGGCGCTCGCCGACCTCCAACCTAGACCTAATTGTCGGCCTCAACGACCGATCCCGGCGGCACTACCGTGTCGCCTCACTGAACCACCCCCCTTCGGCGTGCCACCGCCGCCCTGACCATCCTTGTATACCCTTTTCTTTTTCGCACTGGCACCCCACCCCACACCCAAATCGTTAAGCCTCCACCTGCGACGCCGGCTAGGTGTGAGTTCTTCTCTCCTATCTAAAACTGACCAGTCCAAATTTTATTTTCAAACAACTGAGGATAGTAAATCCGCTATAAAAAAGTAACAAAATTTGGCAAGACAAGAAAAAATAACAAAAAAAGATAAGGAAAAAAAGTACTTTTCTGATGATATGAATATGATGGATGCATGCCCTAGATATGTAGGGATCTGATGAGAAATTACGATGGAACCCTACAAATTAACATAAGGATCTCCAAGGTATATTTCACTTAATTATATGACTTCCTAATTCTAGAAGACATGACAATGATTAATGAAATAAATATCTCCATGTTCTATAAACTAGGCAAAACCGATGATTATTTATACATCAGTCTTAGTCTTAGCATGACAAGAACAAAAAAGGAATAATAATAATAATAATTTGTAAAGATATGAATATGATCGATGACCGAACCTAGGTGTGTAGAAATCTGATGAGAGATTATGGACCTGCAGCCTGTTGTATCAGAAAGTTGCCGGTCGACAATGGAGTGGAGCAACTCGAAGAGGAAGAGCGTCGAAATTGCCCAAAAGACCAACTGAGGGAAGAGAAGCACATGGGGTGTTCCTCGATCGACCGACTATTATATGAAGAGGTGGGGAGATAAAAAGTGGCTCCCCCCTCCCACTGGACCTCGTGCGATTTACCATGCCGGTCCTTTCATTTTGTTCTCCCTGTTGCCGCCCTACACACGGCCTCCTCTAATTCTATCAAATAATGGCCGTTGCTAATCACTAATAAGAGGAGTACTTAAGTAAGATTTGGGGCATGTACTGTCGCCCACTTCACCTTTACAGTTGTAGGTAGCATCTATGATTAATGATCAGGAAGGAATGCACATGTATCAAAAGCGGAGAAGGAGGGGGGGGGGAGACTGTCGTGACCTTCC